CTCCATAAAGGAAAAAAATTAATGATCTAAAGCCACACTGCATAACTGAGGACATTTTGCTATCATCTGTGATAATGGTGGAAAAAAGAACTTGGCAAATGGCATCTGGAAGGACAAGCTTTAATTTGTTTTTGGTTTTTTTTAGTACATTTGGAACTTGTACTGCATGTTTACTACACATCCCAGATTTTCCAGCATGGGCAAAATTCAGATATTATGTCTTAGTGTTCACATAAACCATTAAAATGCCCTTTAAATACAAACATCTTAGCATATAAACTACATAAGTTGTCTCTTATATGTCTAGAAGGGGTGTGAAAATCATTTATCCATTATCCTTTATTTTTAGGTTGAAAAATATGGCCACTGTTATCCAGGGAATGTTTCTGCTTTCAACTTATATATCTAGAACACAATAAACTATAAATTAATGCTACCCAAATGTGAAATTCTAAGTGTGATGTGGATATTTCAAAAGTCTACTGAGGGGCACCTGTGTGGCTCAGTCGGTTAAGCGTCTGCCTTCGGCTCAGGTCATGATCTCGGGGCCCTGGGATCAAGTCCTGCAATGGGCTCCCTGCTCAGTGGGGAGTCTGCTTCTCCCTCTCCCTCTGTCTGCCGCTCCCCCTGCTTGTGCTCTCTCTCTGTCAAATAAATAAATAAAATCTTAAAAAAAAAAAAAGTCTACCTGAATAACCCATCATAGTAAAAGTAATTTATTGATGTTTAAGAAATAGGAGCTTAGGGGGCAAAAAAAAAAAAAGAATCCGAATTGACAATTAAGCATAACAAGCACATATTGAATACCTACCCCCATACTACTTAAGACCATGGCCCTGAAGTCAAGGGAACCTTGTGAACCCAGCCTGTGACCTCTCCTTTGCCTATTACTGGATTAGCTTAAAACTACTGGCACTCAACTTTCTCAGCACATAGTCATGCCTCACTTCAGTATTTCCATTAGAGAGGAATTAGAGATGTCTTAATAATCTAGAGATTAGCCAAGATTTTCTTTTTCTACAAAGTTTAAAAACCATGGGATAGGAGACAGGCACAAAACAGTGTGAAGAGGCCTTGAGGAAGGAACAAGGAGTGATTTTCCCAGGCTTCTCTCCTGCCCACATTGAGGCTGAAGGTATTAGATGTTCCCAGTTTCGGGGCCTGGTAGATTATTGGTGATAGCTTACTACAAAGCCAGCCACTAGCACGAGGAGGGCACAGGGGACAAAGACCCCACTCTCAAACACTGTCAGTACTGGTGGAGGAAGGGAACGGTAGGGAGCCCCACTCAGCGTGTGCTGGCATCGTCCCTTCCAAGGAGGGACAATCACTAGACCTCAGCTGGGTCTGAGCCACCGACTAGGCACCTGCATACATTAAAACTAGGATCGAGGCTTCTACAAGGCGACATGTCATTGCGTGTGTACACGGAGGGCCCAGATGAACTAGGGAAACACCTGCTAGTCTTATGAAAATGAGAAAGGTAGAAACTCAGAAACACGCCTCTCACGTTCTGGAAAGAGCATGAACACCAGGTGGCAAAGGCTTCTCAAAGGGTGCTGTTAGCTACCCCGTGTGATTCCACAGCAATCAAGGAGGAGGCAGGGAGTAGAAAAAACGGACTTGGATTTACATCCAGCGTTACTCGAAGAGCTTGCCACTTTTTTACATGATGAGTAAGACCAAATCTTCTCATCTAAGGGCACCATTAGGTATCCATCCAAACAGATCATAGATCTATACGTCCAAATGAAAAGAGTACAAACAGAACACTTAGAAGGCAGCAGAGAGAGTCAAGGAGGCAGACCCATAGCTGGGTAAGGCCCGGCGCTTGGGCTGGGATTCAGACACCCTACGACCAAGCACACCCCCGCCACCGAGCACTTAGTGTAGCCCATGCTTATTAATGTTGGCTCGTGTTATTATGTGCTTGTAAAGCACTGTGGAGAAAGTAACTTGCCAGTCTGATCAACGAGGCACAGTGAGCCAGGGTCATTGGAAGGACATGAGCCAACGGCAGGGTGAAGGGAGACAAGAAAAATATCATACAAGAGGAGGTTTAATATCACTTCTTTTATAACAATACCTACCTGCCAAGGGACCATTTTAAGTTGATTTTGCTACCCAAAGGTTTTGCAAACCCTCAGCATCGGCCAAATTAATCCATCTTCATGATTCCTACGGGTCTATTAGCCAAAAAATGTTTCACCTAAATACAGCAAACCTTTACACTTAGCTTCTGGTTGGAAGGAACCAGAGGGACTAGAGGCACAAGGAAGCAAAAAATCCAGAATGTAGGACATTCTGCAGGACAGATAACTAATTGATCAGGTCTCTTTATTAAGTCTAAAGTCACGAAAAGATCCTTTAAATGCTAAAACAAAAGATTCAAGGGAATGGACCACATGTGATGCATGGTCCTGGACTGGATCCTGATGTAGACAATCTGGGGGACATTTGAGAAACCAGAAAGTGGGGTAGAAGACAGGATAAACTCGTATTGACATGAAAGGGTGGCTAGTATTAACTTAAATGTTACAAATAGCAAATCAGCATAGCTCATTTAATAGAAGTGCACACATGCACACACAAACATCTAGGTGGATAAATAGTAAAGAATTAACTACTAATTTTTGGTAGGTCAATATACAATGTTGTTGTTGTTGGTTTATGTTTTTTTCTGAGATGTACATGATTGATTTTACAATAACCACCACAGATTACCTTTAATTTAAAAAAGACCTGATTCTAAAACAAGGTACAAGGATGTAAGGTAAAAATTCATGGGGGCAAATAGCAGGTATGATCAGCAGAACTGGGTCTTTCTAATGCTGGGGATGCTCACTGCCATCTAGCCATGTATTCAGTGTGGGAAACACACACACCTCTGTGTGGGTGGGGTCCAGGTAAGAGAGGAAACATTTTAAAAACAGTGTGATCACTTCTGTCCAGCAGGCCACTCTGTGCATAGATGTCCCCTGTGGGATTCTCCACACGAGGCCCACAGACTCCTAGAAAGATCCATACATCCTGAGATCAGCACCCAGCATCTGTGGTGGAATAGCAAGGCATCCACCTAAAGAAGGTGAGAACCAGTGCCCTAAAATGTTAGCTATGTAGCATTTTATAGTGGGTTCTCGAAAATGCTCTTTCAATTCCAAAAGATCTGAGAGAGGAAGAAGGCTGGGTCAGGCGGTTGGACCCTCTATTCAAACACACTCCTCTGCTCCTGAGTGAAGCCATCACTGTCCCCAGCTCCTCGCAGCACCAGGAGGGCAGAAGGCACAAGATCTCACATTCAGGATAAGCTCCTCAGTGGCCCACAGAGCCCGGACATTGCCACCAGTGGGGACACATGGGGGACACACGGGGGACCACAGGGCCTCAGGTCCCCACCCCAAGGCGCACTGGGACTTCACCCTTTCTTGATCTCAGTCCTTAGCATTCCTCAAAGAATCAGGGTGAACTAGAGAGCCCCGATTTGATGGGATACATTACCTACCCGGACAGCAAAAGGCCAGAAGTTTGGAAAAGTGCATGTTAGAAAGAAGCCAACTCAGAGGTGAGGGATGGAAAGGACTCTGGCTTCTCTTTCAAAGTTTCAGTTCGGAGGGTTATTTCTGAGCACCATGCTGGAACCTCCGAAGTGCCAGGAATTCAATAGTAAACTACTGTAGTTAACGAGTGCCATATGTCTTTTACTAAAGATGGACTCCATGGACCTGGATCCATAGACGACATAGCAAGGGGGAGGTCTGGGCTGCCATCTGTGGTGAACAGTTGTGTTATCACACCAATGTTGGTCAGACTCCCAGCGACATCAAAGCTGACAGGTACAGCCCTATCACACTCAGCAAAGTCACAGGGGGACTGACCTTCCATCCGCTCACAAATCAGGTCCAAAGGCCTACGCCTTTCTTAGAGGCCAGTGTCTGCATCTTGCTCCCACTGCAAGAAGTCCTGTCCTCCCGGCAGGACAGGTCAGGCTGCGTGCATCCTGAGAGGTGGACCCTGCTCCTATGGAGCCTGGGCTTGGGGAGGGCTAAGCCAGGACAGGAAGCCCAGTGTCAGAAGAGAGCCCACCACCCACACCGCTGCCAACTCCCATGTGTCTTCATGAGGCATACTGGACTAGGCCTTTACTTCGACACTCCTGAAAGGTAAGCATGTTTTAGAGGGTGTTACACATATTGCTATGTAAATTTTGACTGTGATGACTGGGAATGATCTTTCCCTTCCACTTTACTGCCCAGGCGTACGGGGTCCTGGGAACAGAAAATACTGCAACTGTCACATTCCCCAAATCCTCTGAGGAAGCGCGGTAAGAGACGGACAGGGGAGCACCCTCAAAGGCCTGAGGGGAATGACTGCCAAGTGGGGGGGGGGTAAGAGGGTAATGTACAAAACCAAATAAATAACATGACATCAAACAAAACAAAAGGAGAGTTTATCTCTGATACGTTGGAAAAGAGGCAAGACATTACAAAACTTAAGAGCGTTTGTTGAGTGAGAGAACCGTAAGCTTGATTGCCCGTCAACTTCAATATTGAAAACACTGAGCAGAAGATTAAGACAAGGTGACAAAAGCTTTCAAAAAGTCAGATATCAGGAGTTTGGATAGCTCTCTGGGATCTTCTGATTGTTTTGAGTTCAAATATACGACAGCTCCACAGCTCCGTAGCTGGGTCATCTGGATGCCCCCCAGGAGGTGGGAAACATCAGCCCAGGGTGGGTTTCAGGGCCTCGGCTGGCCATGGGGGCTTGGGCACTGCTGTTTTTCCAGTCCGGGTACAAAACGAGCTCCAGGGAGCCTCCTGGAGCACTGGCTCTGGTGGTTGTCGGACCCTGGTTCCTTCAATTCTCCCAGAAGGCCTCACTGCAAGACCTTTCCAGATTTTTTGGTACGATTTATGCTGCTTCCTTAGCATTTACACGGAGCTCGAGAGACCTGAGGGGAAGTGTGTCTGGTGACCTTTCAGATACTCAAGCCGCATACATACCTCGTCTCCGTGCATGTTGGCCACGTATTTGAACTCTGGAATCCCAATTCTGTGCTCCTTTGGGAAGCGCCCCACGACAAGAACCCACAGGTTTCTGCCTTTACAGGGAAGAGAGAGAAAAATAAGTTGTGTTTGCAAATGACAGATGAACTCCAGGGAATGAGCAGAGAAAGCAAACTGCTGCTTCTCCCACCTGACTTGCGTCTCAGGACGACCGAAGCACATAAGTAAGACTAACACCTCATGCTCAAAATGCTTTTTTGCTCACTTCCAGCCCCAACCCCTTCAATTTAGCACAGATATTTCACTTATTATTTCAGAATGTGATTTTTAAAAATTGAAGGCTGATTAGGCTACATGGGTCTGATTTTCCCAATATGTTTATATACTTTACTCTGAGTTCCTAAGGCTTTATAGAAATGACCTTGCTAATTCACACAATTATACAAACTTAAATTATAGTTGATGGTTGACTGGGAGGGTGCCGTAATTCTCAGTTCAAAGAAAGGGAAAAAAGCAACACGGAATAAAAAATGGAACGCAGAAGGGAGATTGTTTTTAAAATACCAAATCCTGAATCTTGTATCAAACACCGATGTAACACAGCTCCTTTGCGGCGAGTGTCCTTGATGTGCGCGAGTCCTGTCAAGTAGACTGGCAACCACAATCCATCCTAATGGTGCCTCAAGGAATACTTCTAAGTCCTAATCCTGCCGTGAGGAGCATGATTCAGGCGAGGAAGGGCAGAGACTAAAGATCACTGAGGATCTGCTCTGTGTAGACATTACGGTTGGTACTCCGGTACAGGTTATCTTGGTAATCCCTTGTCATGACCCACTGAGATGGATTTTTAACCAAACTTTACAAATGAGAAAACTGATCTTCCACTTAAGTAAGTTGCTTATGATCACACAGCCAGTAAGAGGCTGTGATTTGAGCCCCAGAGCCAAGACGTGACTTATTTGACTTTGATTCTAGGGCTCCTTCCACTAAAGAAAACTGCCTGTCTCTCAGGAGGCTTGGTTTCCTCATCAGTAAAATGAAGAGGTCACTTTCAGTTCTAAAATCATCTCTTTTAGTCATCAGCCTCTCTTAATACAAAGAGTTTAAAATTAGAAATTGAGGAATATGTTCAAAATCTATCACATATATATAATGCTCAAATATCTGTGGTATCTGAGCCTCCTGTGGAATTCAGGAGCCCAGGGAAGGAATTTAACAGCAGCTGATGGGCTAATGTGGAACAGGTTTCTGTGGAATTTCAGATACAGTCCCTTAAATCAGGGGTCCCGCAGGCTGAACACTCAGTTGGTATGAGGAAACCTGAAAGAAACAGATACTCAGCCTGTCTTTTTCACCATTCATTCTTAATTTATTGTAACAATATTTTAGGTACATTTTTCATGACAGGGTGATGCTTTTAATTTTCTAACTGCAGGATGTCTCAGAAAACACCCACAAAATGCCGTTTATCTGACTGAAGCCACCTGACTAGAAGAGAATCCTTACTCATTCATATATTCATTCAATTAGTACAACTATATCCAGCCATTTAGACATGTGATCAGACTGCACAGGTAATTTATACTCTCTTACAAAAAAAAAAAAAAAAAACTCACTGGGTGTAAACATTTTATTTATTTGACAGATAGAGACATAGTGAGAGAGGGAACACAAGCAGGGGGAGCAGGAGAAGCAGGCTTCCCGCGGAGCAGGGAGCCCGATGTGGGGCTTGATCCCAGGACCCTGGGGCTATGACCTGAGCCGAAGGCAGACGCTTAACACAACTGAGTCACCCAGGCGCCTCACCCAGTGAGTTTCTGATCTAGTGGAGAATAGCAATGTGCAAACATAATACACTAGACGGTGACATATACGGCCATAGAAGTGTATATAAGGTACTGTTGTGCTTGTAGAATAAAAGAAATGGTTACTTCTTTCCAAGAAGGGGGATCATGAAAAGCTTTACAGATCTAGGGGTTTATAGATGACTTCTGAACAGGGTTTTGAAGAATGATTCTAAGTTTGCATGTGGACAAGTATAATGCATCCAGTGATTTCCCCTCAGAACAATTTCACTAACCAGAACCTTCTATTCCGCGGTATGATTTCTCAGGTCATCTGGAATTTCAATTCTACAAAGTTAACATTTTCAAGTGAGCAAGGAAGTTTTTCTTTTTTTTAAGGCTGGGTGTGGAGCCTACTTAAAACAACAACAACAACAAAAAACAAAGGGCTTGAACTCACGACCCTGAGCCCATGACCTGAGCCGAGATCAAGAGACGCTTAACCAACCGAGCCACCCAGGCGCCCCAAGGAAGAACTTTTTCTGAGTGAGCTAATAAACCTGGCTCTTTAGGTTTCCTTCTGCGGAATGCTTTTTTGTAGCTATTAATGCTTTTAAAGATAGAATAATCACAGATTTGTACAGATTATGATTTAGTCCCCTCACAGGCAAGGGGGGGACATTCAATATCATCTGAACATAATATTTACCAATTGTTTTAACAGTGTAACAACCAATTTGCAACAGCCGGCCTGTTACATAAGATAGGACGTAAGACAACAAAACCTGACTTGACAATGGAGATTCAATCCTAATTGGCTTAAGGAAGGAGGGAGATCAATAAAACCTAAGTGAAGAAGTACTTTATGGGCAACTCAATCTCAATTTTAGCATGAATGGCCCCTAAATGAACTGCAAGATGAGAAATTTACCTTGAATAACCTCAATGGCACAAAGTTTGAGAATGAAAACCAACCAATAATCCTAGAAGATATTCACGCAATGCTTTTGGAATAACAAGCTTCTTGAAGGGTTTTAACCCCCCTTTCCAAACACTGGCCATCTCTGGCTTAGACCAAAGTAAATGCACAAAGGACAAACTACTTTTCACAGTATGATTGCCAAGGTCAGGGTAATTTAAACAAGATTTTTTTTTTCCTGTCAAGGTTGGTAAGGCTACCTTTATTCCCCCTTCCTAATAGCAGGTATGCTGAAGAGTTCTGGAATGCTTGGCCTCTTTCTCTTCACTACAAATCAAAGAAACCTGGATTCCAAATATTTTGGTATCTATATTATATTCAGGAACTTGGAGGTTGACACAAATCCCAGGGATGTGACACAGGTGCCCGACTGGGTTTGTTCAGAAGACAGGAAAAGCTTTACAAATTTAGAAGGATTCACAAAGATCCAAAGACAAGAAAGCAGGCAAAAAGTGCCACGAAATACTTTTGGAATTTAGGAGAAAGCTGATGGTGAAGTGCGGAAAACTAAGTATAGCTTCAACAGGTAGAAATGAGAGGAGTGTCATGCCCACATCAGAATCACCTGGATCCTTGTAAAAATGCCAACCCCTGAGTTCCATCTACTAAATCAAACTGTAGGGGTAAAGCTCAAAACCTGCATTTAACAGGCTCCCTTGGTGATTCTGAGGCCCATTAAAATTTGAAAGCTTGCTGAGGCTGTGAACATCCAGATGGTTCTGGGAGGCACTTGGCTTTTAGGTAAAACTGTCTCATTTTACATATAATCATGAGCACACTTCTATGTTAACAAATATACTTCTATTTTACTATCTGAATACATTACCCCTAGTTCAACCACTGCTCTTTTGTTAGATGTTCAAAAATAAGTTTTATGTGAACTACAGCATATCCACCAAAATTACATACAGAATTTCAAAATCAGAATACAAAATTATATTAACTACAGCCATATAAAAACAGATTGTTCATTTAAAAAGTACCATGGAAGGAAACTGCTCCATGGCATATAAAGCCTTAAATTAACAGATGGGTCTACAAGAGTCAACAGTGACACACTATGAGTGATAAGAGCTTGAGTGATAGGGTGATAAAAATCAAAAAACTTTTTTCCCCATGTCCCTTTCTTTTTAAAAAATAAAACACCAAATTCTATCATTCATGAAGTACAGATCCTCTGCACCAGACCCCAGCCTAGGCACATTGTTACTTGACCTGCACAACACCTCCACGTGATGGGCGGTACCCATGACTTATTGTCGAGGAAATGTATTCAAGTGGCAGAACCAGGGTCCACACCCAGGTAGATCTGATTCTAAAATCTGTATTCTTCTGACGATGCCAGGCTGCCTTAATCTCCCTGAAAGTACTAGATAGGCCAGAGCCAACGTCCCCCTGGGGGAAATGTTCCCAGGCAGTTCTCGCAATGTTGTGTTGCTATGGTTCACACCTGGAACAGGATCCAGGTGCCACCTGGCTACGACCAATGGATCTAGGACAAGAGCCCCGACCGGAGGGCTGGCTACCCTGTCAGGCTCTCTCTGCTCTGAGGGTTTCAGACTCTGCCTGGGTGGCCTGGTCACCGGGGAAGAGCTGCTGTGATGATGAGGCACATTCCAGTTTTTCACGAGGCTTGTTTGTATGTATTGTATGACCCACGAAGCTCTGATATCCAGGGGGATGAATCAGCAGCTGGTTTCCCAGACTCCACAGTCCTCTGCGTATCCCTACAATCACTCCCTGAGCTAAGTCAGAGCCTGAGAGAGCTTGCCCGAGAGTGTCCTCATATATAAGCGGGAATAACAGCTCCATGGGCAAGGCTGTTGTAAGGCTGATGAATTCCTCCCTCCTTCCCTAAGGATGAGTCAAAGATCTGACACCACACCTTTGATTTCACTTGTGCACATTCCCCTTACCACACACACACACACACACACACAGCTCAGCACACAGAGCTCAGCCCTACGTTAAATAAATGGGCGAGGTGAATACAGCACATCACTTAAGTCAGGTTAAACACTTGGCCTCTGGCTTTGCAGTGGAGGAAAAGAGGTTCCTGCTAAGTGGCTCATTACAAAAACCACACACACACACACACACACACAAACAACAGCAAACAAACAGGGACAGAAAGCATGGGCCAAAGTTTCCAGATTGGCTATGCTTGCACAGTAGCATCATTCATAGCTCAGAGCCTTTTCTGTATATCCACTTAACCCTGACAACCATAAGTGGGAGGCACGAGGATGCTCCTTTCAGCCTGGTGGGCAGTCTTAGGTAGCCTCAGAAGGCCATCATTCTCAAAGCGTGGTCTCGGGACCAGCAACATCAG